AAATATATATACACTTACATACTACAATTACAAATATGTACTTTAAAATTATTATCGCTAGTATATTTTTAAGTCTATTACTACGCGCGTAATTATTTATTGAATAAGTTTGAATATATATATATATATATATATATATGGGAAATTTAAAGTTATAGTACAAGAACTTTTAAATTACCTATCACACACTTTCGAATATAATATATTCTAAGTAACAAATTTCTAACAATTTCGAACAAGTCTTATTATAATGTAAACTAAAAATCATCAAAATCTCTATCATTTTCATCGAAACTATTTCTAAATCCATCATCACCGAGTGATAGTCTACTATATTCAACATTATCAACACTTTCTTTACCTAATCCAAAGGAAACACGATTCTTCCAATAATACCATTGTACAAATATAGTTAGATCAAATACTAAGGTACCAATAGAACCTAATACATAAGGGAAACTTTCTTTTAGATAAGTAGAATTCGTGTGTACCAATGGGTTTGTAAATATTGAAACAGTGTACGTAAAGTTTCCTAATGCAGCAAATATGAACATAAAAATTGAAAGGCCTTCAACAGATTTTCTTTTATACTATAATTTTGAAAATTAAGAGATTATATATATTAAATAAAAAATAAAATTATTGACATGATGCTAAGCAAATAAACAAACATTTTTCCATATTTGAGGCATTCTACTTGTTAAATATAAGATGGTACAAGTCCATGCAAACATTCTTCCAATAGACTCAGCGTGATATTCAAAGAACGATTTTGATGGAACCATATAACCTACAACACTTTCATTATCACGCTCAAAAATATGAGAAGAGGGAGATGTAGAGATCGAGGAAGTTATTGTAGAAGTTGAATAAAAACTAAAAAATAATATAGCAAAAACCATCGTTGCACTAATAATTTTTTTATTAAGAATAATTAGAAATTTTAATAATAATATAATATTTGAAATATGATATTTAAGAAAAGACCTACGCTCTTTGATGTGCCTCATTTGTTCGTTTTGAGGTTATACTTAATTCTAAAGAATCTTCTAATGTATAGGAAGATCTAACTGGCATCGTATTTGAGAACAATAAATAACGAAACCAATTATAGTAAAAATATTGATAGAATAATGCAAGGTCGACGACACAAAAATACATGGCGAGGTATATCTGTATTAAATTATGGGTATATATTTTGTAGAGAGATTTATTCAAATAATAAGTAAAAAAAAAATAAAATAAAATAAATAAATTGGAAGATTATAACACCAATATTTATTGTTATACACACTTGAAATGGTAATTGATTCGTTAGTATACATCCAAATAGATTGGCTATATCACCCAACAACCAATTCAACATAAATGGTAAACTAAGTCCATCAACTGATTTATTTCGATAATTTTTCAAAATTTGCCTAAAACAAAATAATAAAAAATTATTTTCTTATTAATTTAAAATAAAAAATTGAAAAGTAATAGAAGGTAAACATACGGAATTTGGGCATTTAACCAACAACATATGGATAAATAACCTATTTAATGATAACTAAAGTTAAAGTATTTCTACAAGAATAAACAAATTATGTTTATACAGGACATTCTTCAAAACGAAACAAAGGCAGACCAGAACTAAAGAAACGCTCATATCCCTAAATTCCAAAGTATTACCGAATAAAATGCTAGTCATCTCTTGCTTTCCATATATGCAAGTCCCAAATAAAGTATACGTCCATTGAATGTAATGTTCACCATCGCGAATTAAAGGGTCGCAAGATGCCATTCTATTTCGTAATCTAATCTTATTACACTCCTAGAATATTCTAAATAAAAAGTAAATTGGAATACTTCTTTAAACTTGCAAAATATCAAATACCTTTTTTTTTTTATTTCTAAATTCAATATTAGTGAACAACGTTGATTTAGAAGTGATTGTTTTAAAATTTTAACATTGATTCATTTATTTGGATAAAACGTGGCTTGAATAACATTGCTTTGAGCAATTTACATTATCGTTATGCATTACAATAATGGCTGTGTGATCATGGCTTTGCTTAAAAATGTATGTAAGAAACGTATCGGTATGTACCGGTACTACCTAAGTAGGAGCTGTTGTACGTACATATGAACATGTGAAAATTATTATGTACGTACTATCGCTATTTTCATTTAATGTTAATCTCGTAGATTTTATACAAAGATCTTATGAATGAAATGAACAATACTAAGGTTATGCAAGAAAAGATATTATGAAGTTTATGCAAATTGTATATCCGCTTGACATTATTTTTTTGCGTTTAGCTTTTTTGACATAGGTTGAGATGCTTATAATTTCCTGGCTTTAGCTCTTAAAAAAAATTAACTGCCCTATCTTTATCCTATCTAAAAAAATTTCGCCAACAAATTAAAAATTCAGGATCAGGTGTAACTCGAAGAAAAACGCAAAAGTTCAGTAATCAAAAATTCAAAAATCATTTTTAACTCAATATTTCGTATATTAAACTGCTTTCTGCGCATTAATACAAAGTTTGCCTCTCGAAATTTTGACAAATACTTAACCCCTAACCTAACAGCGAAATTTTATAGGTTGGTAACGCTAGGACTTTATCAAACTAGTCATATGCACATGGTGTTTAGAAATAACCACATTTGCTTTATAACATATTAGCAACTTAACTTTAAAATTAAACCCTTTAATATCGAAATAGCATATTCGAAATAACGCGCAAACGACGTTATATTAAAAATTATCGAATTATTCTAACTGAAGTTTAAGCTGATAAACATTTATTTTCTAATTCAGTGATGGTACAATAGTTTCGAATGATTCTAATCCAGAATTCAATCGATTCAACTTTTTGTATGCTCTCAAATTAAAATAAGTAAATGTCGGTGCAATCTGCCATTTTTTTTTAAAAAAAAATATAATAAGTCTAAATTAATTTTTAATCATCTACAAGAATTACTACACTGTATGTGTCAAATTATAGTTTGAAAATACGAATCCAAAATAACGTTGTTTTACAGCTGAAATTCACCATTATAATTGATTTTTTTTAGCTTATAATTAAATACAGATATACTGTACATAAACTTAATAAAAAATTTTTTTAAAATAAATTCTACAAGATTTGTATTAGAATTCATTCAAAAAAATTGATTAAGTTTCGTTGAATTATTATTATTTAAAATTTTACTGATTCACCCCTACATAGTCAAATGTTTATAATGTTTATCGTTATTTTAAAGCTACTTGGGAAATATATGTAAAGGCACGGGAGGTTGTGGCACGGTTTAGGTACCGAGTTTGCAGGTATCAATTCCGGTTTGGCACGGTATGCTGGTCCGTTTTGAACCATTTCACCGTGCAAAAATGGTCCGAAAATGGACCGGATTTTGCAGCACTTTACTAAGCCATTTTTCACGGATTTTGGCACGGGTATTAATGACGTAATTCACAGACTTTCAAATAGTCATTTTTATTAGAAATGAACTCGGTAGTATTTAGAGCGTGGTTATACCTGGCGAGGCAATATAAGTAATCGCCCTATAGTAAAATTTTGCAAGGAATTTTTATTTTAAGAAGCAAAAGCAGCTTCATAAACGAAATTTCGAAATACGCTCGATTTTTCAAAAAAAAAAACGTTTTTTTTAAAATTTTCACGTTACACGTGATCCTTCGCTCTTATTGTTAGTGCAAATTGAAAATGTCGTGCCATTCCGTACAACGTTCCAATATCTGATATGTTACACTACGACGTAACTATACGTATCACCGAAAGGCGTGTCAATACGTGCCAACTAGTTACAACGTGCATATACTTGTCATTTTTGACCGTGCCACTCCGTAAAACGTGCATATACGTATCACAGGACACGCGCCGTTCTGTGCATTCCCATGCCATCCCGTGCCACACACTGAACCACTTTTTTTATAGGGTAGTAAATTAGGCAAAACTTCTGGAACATTACGGTATATTTGTGAAATTTGGCATTAACCCAATGTATAAAGTGCGTCATTCATTATTGTTTTTTACTTATTGTAGATCACATACTCTGTAAGAAAAAGTGACACGTAGTACGGCCCAAAATGACACGGGAAAAACGACCATTACGTACTTCCGCAAAAATTTCACCGTCCACAAACCGTAATTTCCGTAGCAAAACGTGCCAAAAAACGTAGATTTTCGTTTAGAAACTGCTGCAAAACCCGATCAATTTACTGTCCAAAATTTACGGGTGAACTTGCCAAAAATGGCACCGAGAAAATAAACCATCCGTTATTTTAGTGAACGTGCCAAAATACGTGCGTTTTGGCCTGCAAATCCGGTCCAAAATTCACGGGTAAACCCGTAATGGCACGGAAAACTTCACGTGCCACTTTTCTTAAAGGGATAATAAACGTCCAATCATCTTCCACATAAAAATAGACTAGACGTTTATTATGTGATGAAATAAGAAAATAGTCGAAAATGACGAGATAGGTCAGTGATGGCAGAAAAAATTTGTGATCAGGTGGTTTCCGAACTCCACCAAAATTTTTCAAGTAAAAATTTTGTAGGGTTAGAAAGTGTTACTTATACGAGAATTTTACAAGGAAAATTTTTTATTTTTTTCGTTCTTTTACGTTACACATGATCTTGAAATTTGACTGGCTAGTTGGGTTCGGAAATCACATTTTTTTCTGCCACCACACTGATTAAATAAAATGACTCACGCACTTTATACTCAAATTTCACTCCTAGTAGTGTTCCGATCGGATCGGGTCAACCCGAAAGTTCGGGTCAAGAAAAATTGACCCGAAAATTTTGGGTCGGGTTCGGGTTAAGGGTTAACCCGACCCGAACTTACCCGAAAATTACTAATAATAAGGCAGGTCAGCATTAAATTAATTAATTTTGATTAGCATTAAGATTAATTTTAGCCGGCTTTAAAATTAATTTTGGCCAGTACTAAGATTAATTTTGGCCAGCATTAAGATTAATTTTGGCTAATATTAAGATTAATTTCGGGCTAGCATTAAGTATAATATTGGTGTAACATACGCGTTAAACATATAATATCGGTTCGTTTTTTTTTCTTTTTATTATTATCCATGGTTCGTTTTTTTTCATCTACATATAATATCGGTTCGTTTTTTTTTCATATATCCACATAAGACATTTTTTTTTTATTCACATATATATTTTCGGGTTGATTTCGGGTTGGCCAAAACCCGACTCGATCGGAACACTAACACCTAGTATGGTGATGCGTAATACTGTAATGTGCCATTTATATGATACCATAATTTTTTTTCGCGTCCCTAACTTGTTCATTAAATATGGTCATCTCTAACAATCTGATTGATTGGCAAATGTTTCGCGTACTGTACAGTAAGTACATCACCAGTAATGCGGAAAAATAGTTGGGGTGTGTGAATAGCAAGTGCTATTTAGTCGCGTATAGTACCGAATAACACCCCTAAGAACACCTATGAAACCAAGTATCTCAATCATTAGGCGACTTGAAATTAAAACCTCATTTAACATTATTTTTTTAAAAAAATTTTCAGGGAGGGGGGAAAAATTAAACAAACAATAAAATTAAATTAGGTTCAAGTGAACCAAACTTAAGTTCATCGGAACCTAAATCAGGTTAAAGTTGAATCTAAAGATGATTAACCAGAATTTTTTTTTTTTTTTTTTAACTTTATTAATGTTTATTTTTGGGGGAGACCTGTAAGTGGAGGGGGGGATAACGTTAAACGAGGTTTTAATTTCAAGTCGCCTTATAGAGAATTTCGATTATAAGCTATATTTTGCTTAATATTTAGAAGTTTATTAAATAAAAATATCTAAAGTGTTATTAAAAATAAGTTAATAGGTAATACGTATTAGAAGTTTCTTTTTGAAGTAAATTTATTTAATAAAATTTATCAAAACTTTCTAAAAGTATTAAAGCATATAACATAAAAGTCTGTAATTTTATTTAATAGTTTTTTTTTTTTCATCTAAATTATAAAAAAAAATTAACAAATCAATTGGCTTAAGAGATTTTTTTGTTTTTTAGTTGTTCAGGATTCCTTAAAATGAAACATTTGAGTTAATTTAAAAAATTATAGCGATAAGCATTATTAATTAACTTATAATACAGAAATAGTACAAAAAAATGGTGGAAGACTGTGTGAGGCTTGAATTAGTATTTGCAGCGACCAAAATTTTTCGACTCAACTAAGCTGATATTTAGAAATTGGCTTAACCGATTATTACAAGTCTATGTTAGCAATTGGACATAGTAAACTGTGCCAAAATTTTATTGGACTTATGTTTTCGAGTTTTAATCGTATAAAACACTCAAAACATGGTGATGTCCAGTGTGTGAAATTCGATGCTCTCAATGTTCTCCGAGAACATTAAAATTTTAGGTTACACATATGTGAGAACATAAAAAATTTCAAAATCTATTATATAGATGTTCTTGTGAGAACATAAAATTAAATTTGAATTTCACACACTGGTGGTGTCCATATGCTTAAATAAATACGAAAAATCTATATCGCAAAACTATAACTAACATTTTTGTCTCACTTTCCAGCGTCCGTCGACCAGACTTAAGTACTAGAATTTGATGTCTACTATCCACGTATGGATTTGTTATAGAAGTGCAAGGTAAACAATATGACCACATATAAAGTATTTTCACAAGACCCAGAAGAATTTAAAAAACAGTTGATGCTTGATTAGTTCGAAAAAGAACTTCGTGAAAAGAATCAATTGTTTTAAAATATGTCTGGTATTATGGGATCCCATACATAGTTATTCCAAATTATCTTTGAGAGTTTGTCTTCTTAATAAACTCAAAAACTTCAAATGCATTTTATTTTATTTTATTTTATTTTTTGTTTGATTCTATCATAATCCGTAAGCGAGAATAAAAAAAGTTAGCATAAGAATCACGTGATAAATATATGAATAATTTGCGAAATAAAAATAAGGCCAATTCAAATTCTTTACTGTATCACACCAAATTGCATTGAAATAATATGAACTAGGGGTTTGGTCACTGGGACCAAACTAACTTTACTATCACAGCTGTTTTTATTCTAACTGTGACAGCTGCAAAAATTTGACCGAATAAATATTTGGAGGTTCGATAAGTTTGGCAGTGATTTTGGACATTATTAGTAATTTTTTTTTTTTTTTTGATAGTATTCTGAACATTTCTACAATGTCAACACATTCAACATTAAGTTTTCGTTTAAATAAATGTCCGTATGTTGATGTGTTTAATCTGTACGAAAATTTATGGATAAGATTGATCTTAACAAAAAACATAAAAAAGGTTCTGAAGCTTTCATAATAAATACTGTACTAAAATATATTACAAGTGTAGGCGCTAAATAAAAAAAAAGTTCAATATGACCAAGAATACATTGATTAGATTAATTAAAGAATATAATTCCAAACAACCAAGATTTTATTCAAATTGCAAATTTCGGGAATCGTTCATATTTTTTTTTAATACGATCACTGGCACTTCCAAACAAGAAACTAACTCAGAAAAAGTTAAAACTGCAAAATCTCTCTCTCTCTCTCAACTAAAACAATTAAATCTTAATCCTTTATCAGCAGCCAAATTCTTTTATCAAAAAGGTATAGAATTATAAAATACAGATTTGTGGTTGGCTAAAAATTCATTTTTATATTTGATTTCTGATTTGTACAGTTATGTTTTTACTAACTTTGAAAGAAGATATTTCAATAACAGCAGTCATTTTCAATGTTTAAGATCATTTTCAAATCCTATTAATTTGCAGAATTCGAAAATAGCTTTGAATATTAAAAATGAAAATGACATTATAGTAATATCTTCGTTCAAAATTTGTGAAAAAAGTAATTAAAAAAAAACAGGAGTTTTATTTATTATCGCTTGATTAACCATTACAAGGCATAATGTACTAATGTATTTTATAACAAAAAGTTAATATTCAGCAGTGAATGTTTTGTTATTTTTTAAATGGCAATTTTCTGCATAGTAAGCGATCATCTTATAATCAACGAAATTAAATCAAAATAAAAATTTTAAAATTTTTATATATAATAAGGAAATTACTATTTATATCCCCATTTTTGCTATTCATACCCCCTCCTCCCTCCCATATAAAAAAAAATTATTTTAGCTACTTGTCATATGAAAGTCGTGTAGCACCCAATAATATTAATATGTGAACTTGAGCAAAGACAAATTTAATTGAACATTATGTGTTAAATGTCATCGTTATCGCTGTACTTTATAGGAAAGAGGTATGGATAGTAAAGGTGGGAGGTACAAATAGAAATGCCCATCATGGTTTTAATAAATTAATAAAAGTTTTTATACAGGGGAGGTATGAATAGCAAAAACGGGGGTACAAATAGTATTGCCCTATAATAACTATTACAAAATTTAGATCGAAAAGAAAATTAGCATGAACGTGAATCAGATGCAATTATTGAAACGATAGATTTAACGACTAAAGAATCTTTAGCTTGTTATCATATCATTATCAAAATCACAAAGTGTTATGTAAATTACCAACTTACCGAATCGGCAAAAATTTATTCGGTCAAAATTTTAATCAGCTGTCCCAGTTAGAATGAAAACAGTTGTAATCTGCAACTGGACGACCTTATCGAAAGAGGCAGTTAGATTTGGCGAGCAGATGTTCTAAAGCTTTGATCGTCTATCCTACTAGTATCAGAGGGGTGAATTATCACTTCGGGAGGTACGGTAATAATGGAATGGGTGAGGGGATTTACAAAGATAATTCTACTATGCCACTTAGTGGAATATCGGGAGGTAATTAAAGAATATGTGAGTTAGATAGTAGTATTTGTTATTAGAGCGAAGGAGACATTTTGTGTCGTCTCAAAGGGCCAAAATGGCCTTTATTTATAATACTACTTTTAGCTACTTATAAATGTCACATACTTGATAATTAACCTAAATTACATATTAGCTCATACATTTAATAAAACTGTAAATCTACCATTTAATTCCTTAAATCTCATTTATGTGCTTCTATACCCGATATTCCTTTTAGGATCATAAGTGCAATAAGTATTACGATCTGGGCTCACAGTATCCCAAATGCTTCCAGTACTTCTCATCTCCCATTTGGTTTTGCAATGTCCAGACCAGTCTCTGGACGCTCCCCTTCTAGCCATCTTTTAATAACAACAAACTCGTTCTGTGGTAAGCTTAAATCAAGTTTATTCCAATATTCTGCAGGGATTACAGTTTTGTAAAATGTAAAGTACGAGGAGGCGATACGAACTCCATATACAGTTTGATCAGAAATTACATCAGCTTGACGCATATTTTCACTCCTTCCTGTGAGCTAATTGTGTTTCCTCAAACCCTTTTGCTGTATTTTTCAGTCGTTTATTCTTTTAAAAGAAAGTAGTTAAGTAAACAAAATAGAATATTCAAATAATCAAACATACAGATTCTACAACGATCACAGTAACATTCTTTCTATCAACTGTGAATTCGGGTGTCACTGAAACATAAAGCTCGCCAGTGATGTACAATTTGCATCGCGAGTGGGTTCTTTTTTTTTTTTTTTTTTTTTTTTTTTTTTTACTTTATACAAATGTTATCAGCTGAATTTTATTGGTATGATAGTAGGAAATGATTACATATGTGAGAGTACAATTAGTCATATGTATAACTTTAGATTGTCTAATTTAAGTAGTCTGCCTGAGGTTTTACATTAGTTGCTATACCTGAAATTTATTTGAAAATTCTTTATTTAAACTCTCTGGCTATATGCTATTTTACCTAAAAGCTATCATATTATCTTATTTGTCTAACCAAGTACTACTTCTATTTTTTAGAAGACATTAACAGAACTAATATTAGTTCATAAACTTTATAATTCGAAGCCTAGGCCTATTTCAGGTACCTCTTTACTAACTTCTTAATCAATGGGTACTGTGGTATCCAACTATACTATACTATATTCTAATTTAGCTTGCATATACTCTTGTTCGATATTCATACAAACCTGGTTCCTACTGTGGCTTTTCACTGAATTAGTTATCTGTGCTTCCAGATATCACATGAGATAGGCCTTCTCAGATCTGGTTACCACTCAAATTGGTGTTGCTGAAAGTTATCTGTGCCTCCAGATATTATATAAAACAGATCCTTCCAAATCTAGTTAACCTCTAAGCCAAGTTAGTATTGCTATACAACCTTGTGTAATAGACTTATGCATACCTATTTTACTGATCTTTTTATATGCAAGTTTCCTAATAGACTTACTCGCATTCTAGTTGTTGATCTTTTCATATGCAGATTTCCTATTCCAGATTAAATGTTAACTAGTATGACTATTGAAATCTGTACTACTTCACCTAACTCAAGATTTCTACCTGCAAGTCCCCTGCTTATAGATTCTATCAAGATTTATTTGTATAATATTATACTCTCCCAAACACCCTGTCATACTTCCAATACCCTGATTGGTATTAATGCAATGTAATTTACAGGGTTACAATCCCAGAAATGAACAGAGTTTACTGTAAGTTGAATACAGATGTTTAGGTAATTATTCAATTCTGTCAATAGTAGAATTTGAACCCTAACTCTCTTGTATAGCAGTCCAGCAACCTAACCACTACACTAAGATCACCAGACCCTGCGAGTGATTTTTTTTTTTTTTTTACTTTATACAAATGGGCTAGAAGCTGGAAAAAGAGCTGAAAATGATAATTTTTTTAAATGAGTTTTTTTTTACATAAATCAATTTAAAATTAAATTAGAATCATTTTTCACTTAAGATATAAAAGTAGTTGTATTAATAAAATTTTGCAGTATAGCTCTTTAAAGTTTGCATTTTCTTATGATTTATTATAAGATTT